GTGCTCACACAGCCCTCTGCACCCTTCCTTTCATAGCATTTGCCACACTGTATTGAAACTGCTTTTAAACTTGTGAGCTCCATGGGGGACAGGGGCCAAATCTGATTCACCTCTTGATTCCTAACATCTGGCACTGTGCTTGGAGCACGGTAGGCCTGCAGAGATGTTGAATGAATGAATGAATGAATAAAATGAGCTCTCTTTTGGTCCATAATCTCCATAAATGAGACGAGGAGAAAAAGGAAGGTTACATTTAGTGGGGAGAGGCCAAAATGAGATTTCTCAGGAGCTGTCTCTAGGATCATTTAGTAATTGTCCCTAAGGCAGAGGTGGCAAGAGTCTGCTCTGGGAGCAGGTGAGACGATGAGTGTGACGATGATGAAGATGGTGATGTGGATGAGGACGGTGATGAAGACACTTATGATGACAATGATGATAACAACAATGGTGATGATAATGACTTTGCTATTTACTGAGACCTGTATTCCAGGCACTGGGCTTGGTCTCATTGTTTCCATCTTACGTCAGAGCGAATAAGTCTCAGAGAGGTTGGGTAATGTGCCCGAAGTCACACAACTGGTAAGTGATGAGGCCTGGATTTTAGACCCAGTCTGACACCAGAACTGGTGCTCAATCCCTCTTACAAAACTGTGCCAATAACCGGAACATTCAATCATTCATTAAATATTTGTTGACTACTTATTACGTGCCAGATATAGTCTAGGCACTGAGTGGTGAACAAAACAGATGACATCCTTGCTTCATGGAACCTACATCCCGGAGAGGGGAGACTTGAGACAAGTGGATAAATGAGTGAAAATGCAGTATGTCTTATGGTTAAAGGTACTATGGAGAAAAACAGAGAAGGGAAATAGGGGCTGCAAGGAGTGGGTGGAGGTGGGGCTGCGATTTCATATGGGGTGGCCAGGGAGGGCCTTCCCGAGAAGGTGACAATTCAGCCAAGACCTGAAGGCAGTAAAGCAGCAACCCACACAGATATCTCGGAGGAGAGCACATCAGACAGTGGGAACAGCAAGTGCAAAGGCCCTGAGGCAAGAATGCTCCAGGGTGGCTAAAGCTGAGTTGCTGAAGAGTGGTAGGAAATAAGATCAGAAGGATGAAGAGTAGAACTTTAGGGCCTTGTAGGCCATTACATGGTCAGAGAAATTTGTTGGCTGGCCCCTGAGGAACTAGAAGCGGTTTCTGACCATCCTGAAGTTCCTATCACCTGTGAGCACCTCTGTACACAATGGCCCTATGAAATGGGGAGAGGATTATTCTCAGAAGTCTTTTCCATGCTTGATCTGGAACTCGGCCTAAAGTAGGGTTTCTCATCCTCAGCACTATCGACATGTTGGCTGGATAATTTTTTGTTGTGTCGGGGGGCGGGGGGGGAGAGGTTGTCCTGTGCATTGTAGGATGTTTAGCAGCATCCCTGCCCTCTAGTCACTAGGTGCCAGTAGCACTCCAGTTGTGACAAGCAGAAATGTCTCCAGACATTGCCCAATGGCCCCTGTTGAGAACCATGATCTAAAGACAGGCGCTCCAGCTCCCTGTGCTGGGAGCTAATCTCCTGTCCCTACACTCACACCTCCTCCTCCAGCCCCTGCCCTGACTCACACTGGCTGCTCAGAAAAGGGAGCCTGCCGTTATTTACTAAAGACCCAGGCAAACACTGATTCTAGGTCCATTAGCCATTAACACGTCTACACACCAGACAGTCAGTCAGAGGGCCTCTGCCTGTTCTAATATGACCTTGGGTCCCATTTGCTTACCCCCAAACCCATATGAGAGCCACACAATAGGCCTAGGCCTTGGGTCTGGTGACTTGGTGCTGGTCACCTCTGTCTTCCTTTCCCCAGGGACTAGAAGATCTGCCAAGGGTCCTGACATCTCCATAGGACCCTTCCTTCCCAGCGAGAACTTGGTCCAAGCAAGACCAAGAATTCCTCACCTAGGTCATCATAATAGTTAATGTTTATCAAGCACTTCTGTGCCAGCGCTTGGCACACCTTGTCTTACTATGTAGGATGATCCTAAGGTGTGGGATCTATTAATATCCCCATTCTATAGATGAGGAAACTGAGGCACAGAGAGGTTTACAAAACACCTTTCCTGGGCCACAAGTGCTGAACCAACAGCACTGTCTCTGTTTTGTGAGATAACCTGAGGAATTCCTGCTCAGTGAGTACGCGGTATGTACCAGACAAGGAGCTCGGTGGAGCTCAGGACCTGAGGAAGGCTGCACCTGTAGGAGCCCTTGGCCTCCCAGCAAAGGGATCCCTGCCCACCCGCAGCCCACTGGGCACTGCTCCGCTCAAGTGCCAACGTCCATCTGAATCGTCTCCACGCCCCGACCAAACTGGCACTTCCAGTTGGGCAGGGCAGGACCCAGGCACTGAGGCCTGAGGGGTGTAGGCATCCATCTCACTTTACAAACTCAGAGTTCAAGGTTCTGGAGCACCAGAGGTAAAACAAATTTGCAAATTTTAAAAAGATAGAAACCAGAACATAGGACTGTCAACCATGAGTAGATTTGGCTTTATAGATTCTCTCTGCTCTGATGAGAACCACCCAGAGCAGGGTGGGTGGGAAACTCGCTCCCCTACTCCCCTCCAGGAAAAAGGAACACTTTCCAGACCAGCTTACGTAGAAGGTCAGTTGGAGCGTGGAACTTGGAGTCAGCCGCGGAGTTGAATCTCAGCCTAACCGCTTACTAGCTGCAAGACCTCTGAGCTTCTGTCTCCTTGTCTATAACGTTAGTTGCCTGTAATAGTAGATCACTCATAGGGTTGTTCTGAGAATCAGCCAAGATAATGCACGTAACCCTTGGCAAAGTGCTTGGCCTAGTAAGTGCTCAATAAATGTTGTTGTTGTTGTTACCTTGTTATCATTACTGTCATCATCATCATCACCATCATCAGCATCCTTCCGGTTGCTCCTGTCAAACTCTGAGTCATCCTTGACTCCTCTCTTTCACTCACACTCCACATCCAATCTATCAACAAATCCAGTCAATCCCCCTTCGGTGTCTCTCTAGACTCTGACCACTTCTCACCCCTCCATTGCCACCACCCTGGTTCAGGCCGTTGCTCTCTCTCCCCTGGATTATCGCAGTGGCCTCCCAGTGGCCTCCCTGGATCCACTCTTCTTCCTCTTTGGTCTAAGCTCCATATAACATTAGAGAGTAAGTCAGATCACATCGAACTCTGCTCCAAACACTCCAGCCCCTTTCCACAGCCCTCAGGGGAAAGTCTACTCAATGGCCTACAAGGCCCCACGTCACCTGACCCTGTTGTGTGCTGGCCTCAGCCTATCCATAACCAGTGTTGCGGTTGGACCGGCCCTTGTGGTTCTGCTTATGATTGTAAGATGCCTGTCAGCAATAACTATCAGGACACTTTGAAAAAAATAAAGGTTTATTACTTATAAGACCTGGAAATTACACAGCACATCTGGGGCCACACAGTGAGGCCGCAGGTAGAGGGAGAGAGAGAGAGAGCACACGGGCCTGGGGTTCTGCTTTAATTGGGGTCAAAGGTGGGGGTCTAAGTTTTCTCAGGCCCACTCTTTATTGGTGACTTTAAACCATAAGAGCAGGAATTCAAAGCAAAGGGAAGAGAAAAAACAAGTGGTCCAAACTGTCAGTTATTGAAATCACCCAGGATCTCTGAATCAAAGGAGCCTCAGTGGGGGAGGCAGCCTGGCTCTTCACCTAGTGTGTGGCTGGCCATGTGTCTATGCCAGATAGCCCTCTTGAAGTGGACGCCTCTTTGAAATGAATGCCCTGGCAATCAAAGCTTAAGTCAGGCACTTGCATTACAAAACAGAAAAAAAAACAACTCTCAGGGCTTATACTATAGACCTCGCCCCAGCTCACTCTGCTCCAGGACCAAAGGACATCTTGTCATTCCTCAAAATGTCACACACACTCCCACCTCAGGGCCTTCGCACTTACGGTTCCTCTGCCTTAAATGCTCTCCAGAGATCCACATAGCTTGCTCCCTCATCTCCTTCAGTCTTTATCAAAATGTTCCTTCTCAGTGAGGCCTCCTTTAGCCTCCCTACTTACTCTCACAGTTCCCCTGACACTCCCAACCTCCAGCTCTGCTGCTTCTCCCTCCATAGCACTTAGCATCTAACACAGCATAGATTCTACTTCCTTATTTTGTTTGCTTTCTGCCTCCTCCAGTGAGAACAGGGATTTTCATCTGTCTGTACATTGTGAAATCCCCAGCACCTGGAACAGTGCTCAGCACATTGCAGATCCTAAAAAAGATTTGTTGAATGGATGAATGAATGAATCCTCATTACTACTATCGTTAGCTCCCATCTATCTAGCTCTCAGGTCCCAGCATTCCAGCTGTCACACCTTTCTCTCACTTTCTGTTTGGACACCCAGGAGCTCTGGGCTAGGTGTGGCACCTCTAAAAGCCCCACCATTTGGACAATCATTCCAAGAATTTCTCTTGCTCTGAGCTTCTTCCTTAGAAACTCAGATTTGGACGCTATGTCAATCAGCAACGTTGAGCCAGGCATGAGTGAATCCACAAGGGAGCCGCAGAGAGGCCCAAGGGACAGAGCAGCCAGCCATAGGCCAGCGCCTGCTGGTGGTGATAGATGGGGGTCTCGGAGGCAATGATGGTGACAAAGCAGGCAGTGGAGAGGCATGGATCTAGGAAAAGCCCCTCCCCCCGTCCATTGATCCGGAGTTTAATGAAAATGATCACTCACTTTCAGGTTCCGTCACAGGAGCAGGAATGCTGACTGGCAATGGGGTGTGTGCCAGCCGGGCCGGCTTTCTGGGTTTTCCTTTACAGAAGACCTCTCTGTTGCACTTGGACTTGCCCATGGGAGTGGAGGTCATTTGCACTTTCTCCAAGTGCTGCAGCTGGACAAGAGGGTTGAAAAAGATAACGTGTTCTGGCTTGAAAGGGAATCAGTGACCCCCTGCCCTGGCTCCACCCAGCTGTGGCAGACGTCAGGGGCCAGCTGAGGGACCTGCCGGCTCACAGTGTTATCAGGGGAAGGAAGGCAAACTGGAGCGCCTCTTAGTCCCCTCCCATTAGACCAGGAAGGCCTCTCCCGCTGCCAGGATCACAAGCCAGCTCCCTGAGGCTGTTTCCAGAGAGGGGCCCCCACTCCTACCCCCACCCCACTTGACCCAGCAATGTAAGGGGTCAAGGAATCTTAATCGAGAATGTCAGGTCTCTTCAATGCTCTTCACAAGCGGGTGGGCTCAGAGAGGGTAAGGAGCATCATAACCTCCCCCGACCCCCACCCTTCACACACCTGGCCTTCCTTACTTGAGGGCTCCCTGACACATTATATGCAGCTAGAGGGCAACTGGCGGGGCCCAGTTTGACCTGTTAGCTCCAGAACTTCCCACCAGATGGCACCCTGCTCTCTTCTTCTTCCCTCCCTCTCTCCCCCATTCTCTCTCTTCCCTATGAATTCTGACCATGGAAATTTTATAATGATAACCGTAGTAACAATAATGTATGTGTACTTACTATGTGCCAGCAATTGTGCTGAGGGTTTTACACACCCAGTGAGATGAGAGAGCAGATTGAGTTGGTCTGGATCCTGGCTATACCCCTTACTGCCACATGGCCTTAGGTGAGCAGGTCATTTCATTGTGCATCAGTTTCCTTGTCTATAAAATTGAGATAATAATAACAATACCTACCCCACAGGGGTACTGGGGGGACCAAATGACTTAATACATGTAAAGCTCTTAGAAAATAATAAGCACTGTATAACTGATTGTTAAATAAATCTCATTTGACTGTAACAACTCAATGAGATAGCCGCTATTATTTTTCCCATTTTACCTGTGAGGAAAGTGCAGCTTAGAGAGATTGAGTGAGTTGACCAAAGTTGCCCAGTGTTGCTGAACCCAAAGAACCCTGATGTGTGTCTTCCAAATTGGCTAATTCCATGAACGTTATGTCTCACATCCTGTCACATTTCTGAAAATTTACCCATTAGCAGCAGAGTATGAGAAAGGCCCAGGAGCTAAGCAGACCAAATAAAGTCTCCTCCTTGGGAGAAGGGGAGGGGGAGAGGCTCTAGTGAGCTCTGTCTTCACATTGGCTCTTTCAGACAACCCGTCCTCAAAGAAGTCCAGGAACATGGCTGAGGAGCTAGGCAAAGCCGTGGAGATCATGGGCAAAGGCAAGAACGGAGTGGGCTTTGGCAAAGTGGACATCACTGTCGAGAAAGAACTTCAGAAGGAGTTTGACGTTAAGAAGACCCCCGATTTGAAGCTGTTTTTTGAGGGCAACAGATCAGAGCCCATCAGCTGCAAAGGTAATGGTGCTTGGGCATCAGTCAAGGTAATGCTAGCCAAGGAAACATATAAACACTGGCATTTCAGTGGCTTAACACAATTACAATTTTATTTCTTGTTTGTGCAAAGCCCAGTTGGCAGCCAGAGAGTGGAGTTGAGGGCTCTGCTCCACACAGTGTTTCAAGGACCCAGGCCCCTTCCAGCTTGTGGCTCTGCCGTCCCCTACAGCCTCCCAGCCACCTGCTGTTTCCTCTGTATCTGGCCAGCAGATGCAGCAAGGAGACAGAGGTGGTGATGTTCATGGCCCAGGCCTGGAAGTGGCAAACATCACTTTGATTCTCATTCCATTGACCAAAATTCTGTTACATATCCCCACCCAACTGAAAGGCTGAGAAATATGACCCTGCTCCTTGTCCATAAGGAAAAGAAAATAGATTTTGGTGAACATGTAGCTGCCTTCACCACAGCTTACATCTCAGCTGGTGGGCCCTAGAGGTGGAAAGGTGAGGTGCAACCTACTACCAGAGACCAGAAAGTAAGTTCCTAACTCTAGTTCCCACCTCCTGCACCAATCTTCTACTTTAGAATGTTTTGACAGGGTCCTAGGCCGAGGAAGCACTGGTTAACCAGAAAGGAAACTGGGAGATGATGGAACAAGATGGGTTTGGGACAGGGTGGCTACCAAACCCTTTAGCTTCTGTCATCATCCATTTCATTCATTCACTTATTTAACACTCTTTTATTGAGAACCTACCATGTGTCAAGCCCTATCTTGATGTCGAGGATGCTTGAAGAATTATTTGCCTTGATGGGCACATAGTAGGTCCTAATTTTAAAAATATTAAATATGTGAATGCATAAATGTATGCATAATGAATGGACAGATGGAATAAAGATGATGAACACAGAAGTGCCCAGCACAGCCCCTATTATTCTAGAAGAGTCTTGTGTGACTTGACAACAGGGATATGCTCTGAGAAATGCAGCATTAGGTGATTTCGTTGTTGTGCAAACATCACAGAATGTACTTACACAAACCTAGACAGTATAGCCTACTACACACCTAGGCTACATGGTACTAATCTTATGGGACCACCGTCGTATATGTGGTCCATCATTGACCAAAATGTCGTTATGTGGCTCATGACTAGAATGTTCCCATTATATACGTGCTGGATGATTGAATCTCAGGAAACTGAGATTGCCTTTTGTGGCTCTGGTGTTTAGCAGGTTTGTAAGAAGCTGTTTGAGTGTTATGGCAAGAACCAAAGGGGCAGGGGTGGGGAGAGCCACCCCCTGCAGGCGCTGCAGCATGCCTTGCAGTTCTCAGAATGGACACAAGGGGGCAGGAGACACACAGGCCACATTTGCAGAGGAAGTTGCAGCAAAAGCGCCAACCTCAGGGCAGGTTACATAAAAGTCCTGGCAGTGCTGTGGCTCCCGTAGGCTTGTGGGATGGTGGCGTGTATAGGGGGGAAGAGAAGGGATGGGGAGAGAGGGCAGGAGCAGTGAGAGAAGACACACAGACTGCTGCTTCCTCTGGATACTGAGTGACACCCTCAGCCATGGTGACCCACTGAGCCCAAGCAAGGAGCCCTTGGTGAGTGTTGGCTTTGAGGAGGGCTGCGAAGAAACGAGAAGCCCCAGGTTACTTTGGCAAAGTCCACATCTGTTCATGGAGTGGCTCAGGTTCTGCGATGCCCTCACCTCCTGAGGGACAGGTGAGACTTGACTTCACTTAAAGGAAACAAGGTGACAATGTGGCAACTTCCAGACTGTCTGAGCCCCCTTTGTGGTGGGAGCCAGTGCCTGGGACCTCCTCCACCATGGAGGAAGCTTCATTATCACCTGCTCCAAGAAGTCTCCCTGACTGCCCGGGTCGGGGTGCCTGTCCCTCTTCTGTGGTCCCACAGCACCTGTGTTTCCTCCATCAACGCCCTCACCTCACAGAATTGTATCTGTTCCTCACTGTTTACCTGACTGAGAACACAACAAGGCCAAGGATCTCACTTCCTTTCCTGGGTCCTCCGAAGAGGCTGCCAGCACTGGTGGACACAGCCTGGCTTCAAGTCCTCACTAAGCACCACTTGTACTCTGCGTACCCGTTCCAAGAGGAACTATCACTTCCTCTGGTTGAATTTCAGTCTCCTCATCTGTAACGTGAGGATGGGGAAAGCATCTACCTCCTAGGCTTACTGGGAAGATGAAATACGTTGGCAAGGCACAAGGCTTGGCACATATCTGAAGCATTCACTGTGTTCCAGGCAGTTCTAGTCCCTTCTCACATGTCACAACAACCCAATGTAGGAGGTGCTTTTACAGATGGGGAAACTGAGGCATGGAGCAGTGGAATAACTTCCTCAAGCCTCCCCAGCTGATAAGCAGTGGGATACATAAATGTTTTCTGTAAGGAGCCAGGTAGGATTTTAGGGCTTATGAGCTAGACAATCTCTGTCGCAGCTACTGAACTCTGCTGGTGCAGTGTGAAAGCAGCCAGACAGAGACAAATGGGCATGGCGGTGTTCCAATAAAACTTTATTTATACAATCAAGTGACAGGCCAGATTTGGCCCACGAGCTGTAGTTGACTGACCCCTGTTCTCCAGTGTGCTGCACTCTAAGGAAATGGCATATGTGGTTATTATTATCATCAAACTATTAGTTTCCTGACGCTAGTCCAGTGCCTGGTACACTTAGGTTCTTAATGGTTTTCGAGTTTGAATGGGATGGACTTGCAAGGACCCGCTGCAGACAGGCGTGAGGTAAGGAGCCAGCCCATATTTCTGCTGGGCTCACCCATCCCCCTTCTTCCTCAGTATTACTGCCAACCAGGGAAAGAGACAGTGGGATGCCGAGACAGGAGGGAGAAAGGGCCTGGAATTTAGGACAAGCACTAGCTATGAGACCTTGAGTCAGCCTTCGAATTTCTCATTTCCTATACAGAGTGAATAGTGCCAGTTCAGTGGACTTGACAGGGCTTCCCTGAGCTGAGAGGGGCGACAGTGCTTTACTGGTCTCCTGCAGTGTGACTTTTATGAAAACCTCCCTAGGTGGCAGGTGGGTCTAGTCCTTGTTGGTCAAAGCCCCAGTCCCCGTTCTCCTCTAATCTCCAAGGACTGATGGTGGGAGCCTTGGCCTCGGCCATCTCCCTGGAGGGAGGGAGACTCAGGTTGCCTC